ATGCAAGTTACACTGGATATCGGATTTCATTTACTCCAGATATGCAATCACACTTTTATTGTTGGATAAGGAAAAGTAGTTAATCGAATGTGTCGCAAACGGTTACTGGACAGAAAGTCATCGTTATGAGTCCAGGAACCACTGTTAAGTTGGCTGCCATCACATCTGAGTAGTTGCCAGTAAAATGAATTTCGGGAGACCAAAAACATCATTCCCTGAATTGATCTCCAGAGATCTTACCGAAGAAAGTCATTCGGTTCGCTACTGCTCCTGATTTCGGTCAAGGACATGAGTGGTTATTATACTTCGCATGTCACTATTATTCTATACTGATGTAAATGTTGTCTACTGTCTCCGAAGAGCTGGAGATTTAAACATAATGCTATTCATTCAAGAGGACCTTCATACCCTCCCCACACATTGCGACACATGAAGGATGAAATTACCGGCAAAGAAATCAAGCATTCTGTTTTCGGTCACTCAATGCTTGCATGATCTACTGCACTCACCGGCAATGGCCAGTTGCGTATTGCGGATACAACGGTCGAAGTTTAACATGTCCCGCCGGATAAACAGTGTGTTTAAAATAAGGAAATAACAACAAGAAACATTGTGCAATTGAACACATTGAATTTGTCCATCAAATTTTCGTCCGTCTGTATCGTTCACATATAATCGCATGGGGTTGGAAAAGCGAACAATGAACAATGATTTACCAATGGATAAAAATAGGTGCTTGACACGTCCCGTAAGATGGGTGGGGTGAATATGATGAAATAAGAATATATCTGGGTCATAAACCGAACGTCTGCCTAGATGAATACTTTGGTAAATAACCAGTGTAAAAGTAAAAAAATCGAAGGTAAACTTTCAGAAATACACTGGGGTGTAGTGATCGTTAGTATACGAAGCGAAAAATGTAAAATATGGTAAGCGTCCCTAGAGCTATTCAGTTGATGAGCGGAGCAAACTGACTGTACATTTGTTATGCTGGAACCTGCAGGAGCGAATCGATTATAGTGGCAATATACAAAAATGACAGTCGCACAGACTGTGCGAACCACAGGGTATGAGCCTAACACCAGTTGTGACAAAATTACTGGCCTCGATTATCGGTCGTCGCCTCACTGCAGAACGTGAATCTCGGATTAGGGAAGAGCAGGCCGGTTTTCGCCCAGGATGTGGCTGTATAGACCATATAGTTACTTTGCGGCAGGTGCTAGAGCAGCGCCACGCATACCGCAGACCGACAATAGCTGTGTTCCTCGATTCCAAGAGTGCGTTCGATTCAGTCGATCGATCGATTCTGTTCGAATTGCTTGCGCGAAAAGGTGTTCCCACGAAATATGTGAACATCCTTTGTGCTCTATTCTCGAACACTACAGGCCGCGTCAGGGTCTATGGTATCCTATCGGATAGCTTTTCGACCACAAGTGGCGTTCGTCAGGGTTGTCCGATCTCCCTGTTACTGTTCAATTTCGTCGTGGATTCTATCATGGAGTGTTCCCTTGCGGAATCTCACGATGTAGGCGTTGAAGTGCTGCCTGGTGAAAGGTTGGTTGATCTAGATTATGCGGACGATATCGTCTTGCTTTTCGACAATGTTGAGGCGGCACAATCAACCCTGAATAGCCTATCCAGAGTGGTCCCATTATTTGGTATGCACTTCGCACCTTCAAAGTGCAAAGTGTTGCTGCAGGACCACCAGCCACATGATGACCCCTTGACCCTTGTCAACGAAGAACTCGAGGTGGTTGATCAATTCACTTATCTTGGCAGCCGCATCAGCAATGATGGGTGCATAGAAACTGACGTGAGCTCACACAGTGCAAAGGCCAGAGCTGCCTTCTCGAACCTGCGTCATCTTTGGCGACAGAAGGGAGTTTCCCTCCGTCTGAAAGGCCGTGTACACAAGGCTACAGTAAGGGCCGTTCTGTTCTATGGCAGTGAAACTTGGCCCCTTCGGTCTGAAGATCTGAGGCGCCTTCAAGTCTTTGATCATCGTTGTTTGCGAAGCATTGCTGGTGTCGGATGGTACCAGCGTGTCCGCAACGATGATGTGCGTAGGCGAGTACTAGGTGGTGATGATCATGCTATCTCCCTAGAACAACAGATAGCACTGAACAAGTTACGTTGGCTCGGGCACGTGCTACGCATGCCTGGTCACCGCTTACCTAGGAGGGCCTTGTTCAGTCTACCAGGTGTCGGATGGCGCAAGGCTCGAGGTGGACAGAATTTGACTTGGCAGCGGGAAATGAAGTCACTGACGACCAAACTGGGTGCCGTTGGTCCGTCTCGCCTTCCGGGTTGGAGTCCACGTGACTCACCTTGTGCTTGGCTCGAGACTTTACAGGACATGACTCGCAGTAGACACCAGTGGCGCGTCTGCTGTCGTCTCCTAATCGGATTGTCTGTTTAAAGTGTTTGGTGCTGAGTTATCTGCGGGGTAATGGCTGATTATGACGCGTGGTAGTAAAAGCCGCAAGGAAGCTCTCTCGCCGATGCCGCCTTATCTTTGCACGATAGCCAGCTGTTTGTGACGGTATGTTGTCTACACAAGGTGTAGGCGCCTTGACCCTGAATGTTTGCTTAGGGCATTAAAATTTTCAGGTAATCCCCCTTGTCTCCCTCTTCTTATTCTTTATTTCATAGGTCCTCATGGTTGTATGGCAGCGAAGCATCAGTTCAAATGGCTGATGTATGGCTGTTAATGATGATGATGACCGGATCCGGCTCGATACCGCACGCAATTTTGCTGCGGCACTTTACTCCTCGGGTTCTTCGGTTCGCTGGGGCTATCGCGCTTGGCCGAATGTATTTAACGCTTTTCTTGCACAAACAGTAATTAGTCAGCCTCCGGCTTCCGTGGAAATAAAGACCCATTCATTTTCATCCATCCTGATTCCTAAGTTTGTTTCTTTGTTTGGTCACATCCACCCACTGTTATGTTTCTCATGGGTTATTGGTATTAGTACTGAAGAGACAATACAAAATGACTGCATTTACCAACTGTCGTCTTTTCACTCTATTTTACATATTGGGAGTTTGTCTGGCATTGCTTTTGATGGTAACGCACAATCGCTTCGATCTGCTATGCATTATCCGATCTCTTAGTTAGCAGCATCCAACGTTGACGTATGTGTACAGCTAGGCAAACAGGTATTCTATTGCTGTACAGACAAAACCTACGCAAATTGCTCCGACTGTTGGATTCGCTGTCCCGACCTCCGCTAGAAGACCGTGTTTACAAGGCCACTGTGAGGGCCGGCCTACTCTTTGAGAGTGCGACTTATCCCCTTTAGAGTAAATATGAGATGAGCTTTCAAGTCTTTGACAACCGCTGCCTGAAAGCATTTCTAATTCCAGACAGTACCAGCATCCCAGAAACAATTACGTTCGCAGACCACTGACCGGCTGTACAAATAGGGCTATTTTCTTAAAACAGAATAGCACAGAATAATTTGTTTTGAGAATATGCTTAGTCAACACTCACCGAGAAGAGCCATGGTTTTGCCATAGTTAAGTTGCTTCAGGAACAGATGTGGGTAAACGTTACCTTAGAAGCTCAGAATGAAAGCAGTGGTTGCAAAAATAGGTGCACTCTGCTCGTCCCACCAGCCAGACTGGAGTGCACGTGTCGCCTTGTGTATGGCTCGTTACGTTAATAGACATAGATCGCATTCAGCACTAGTCGCGCATCAGCTGTTCTCGTATAGTCGGACTACCTGTTTAATGTGTGTTTGGGGTTGAATTATCTGCGGAGTAATGTCACCTTATGCCGCGTGATAAGGAAAGCCACCAGAAGGCTGTGAAGCTGACGCTGCTTTATCATCGCACGATAGCTAGCTGATTGGTACACTAGGTTGTTGACGAAATCTTGGCCCCTTACCCATTAATCTTTGCCTACGTCCTCACGGTTTAACGCTAGAACCCATTTGCTTTTGCTTAGTATTGTTTATTCTGTATCGCGTTATGATTATGCAAAAGCAAATCATTAGTTCTAATGCCTGACGGACTGACGCTGCAGATGATGCTGAAATACCGCGTCTATTGCATATGGGGGTTAAGCAATTTTGAGTTTTGACCGACCTGTTCCAGGAAAAGAAGATGCATAATTATTTACGCAACCTTATTCCGTCTTGCTTACCACTACACTCAAACCGCATACATGCATTTCAGCAGCTGTACTTGGCAACGCTTGTCATATGAGGTCAAAATAGGGCAGTATCAAAGGGAGGAAAGTGAACAATTTTAAAGAAGTGGTTTACGCTAAAATAACAGCTTTAGCACAAGTGCTACGTGGCTGGAAAAGTAGTATCCTAACAGTTAGTAGACATATGCTATAATTAGGTTGAAATGGCATCAGTTAAAAGAACTAGCTAAACTGTCAATAGAATCCTACTGGCAAACAACCAAACAGCGCCTGATTCCCTTTAAGATTGTGAAATACATACTAGCAAAATAAAGGTTATGCTAAAAAGAGATGCCTGATATTTTTAAATCATACTAAGATAGGTATGCATGATCTGACACTTAGGTGTAAACTCAGTTTACATTTGGCACAGTACAGCAATAATGGTCAGTTTACTAGGTATCGAAAAGTCAATCACTATTAAAATTGCGAAAGCTCACCTTTATGCACATCAAGAAAGTAACTAGAGCTTAGAAGCTATCATGTACAGTAAAGTAAACAGATGCATTTGTAATTTTATATTAAGTGTCTCGACTATAAACCAAAAATATATACGTATGTATACTCGGTATACTCGGTATGTATACTCAGTGTACAAATTTGGTAACCAAACACTAGTTAAAATCGGATTTATTCATTAAAGTTTCATTAACACACGATGGGAAATGTGCTCAAAAATAGCCAAGATGTCACAAGCACGGATGTAGGCGTAGTTGAAAGCAAGTCAAAAATGACAAAGTTCCGTAAAGAATAAAAATCTCAGAAAATTTGCTCACTGTTGTTGCCAACAAACCCGTAACCATAGATAAAATTAATAAAAGTGAAAGCGGTTGAGTGCAGTAAATGAGTACAGTTGATATGGGGTACTGGCTGCGCTGTCGGGTTCTAGCACAAGGACTTCATGCAGAATCTCCTCGTTTAATTGCTTGTGCGACGCAAATCGCGAACACCAGCCCAAGGATGAGGACCAATGCAAACAGAAACACGCACAGAGAAACAGCGAGAACGTTCTTTTCGAAAAAATCCTTGACAGCTTCGAGACAACCCTGTATTAAAGAACCGGTTGAATATTCGTAGATTAGCTTGCATCTCGTTAACTATTAAAAAAACAAGAATACCATTCCAATGCTAACTACACATTAAATGTTGTAATGGGTTAGTAACTAAGTTCCAAACACTTCTTTAATTTTACTATACCGCGTGCCATTAAATCTGTTTAGTATAATGTTGTAAAACGTTCAAAAAAGGGAGTTTGTTTCATTTTGTATGTTGTTCGAGTGATTTTACTTATCTTTCCCTAGGTTAATTTTCTGATTGTTAAGATGAAATTCCAAGTCGAGAAAGATGACATTTTCGACATTTCTATTTCATCCTTTAGGCGGTAAACGCAGTTTGAGGCATTTGTGCCGTGGGTAGAGAGTGTGTCATAGATTAAAGAACTGCTCAATACTGACATGCCTGTTTTTAAACTGTAACACTACCACAAAGATGCATCTGCTTTCCGCCGTCCAGCGGAGTTCACTGGAGAGCGAATCAAAGAGCTTTTATAAAAAGCTTCGCAGCATAAAAGAAGAAACAGGCAATGAAAATATAATGCACACAAAATACTATAGAGAATAGTCTACCCTCGTTGGCAAAGGTAGAGAAGTGTGGATCACATGTTCTGCATGCTTCAACTAACACCAAACAACAACAAGCTACTATCACCGCCGCTTTGTTTGCTCGACACTGCTCAAGTCATGGATCCAAGCAAAGATTTCTTTACCGACTCGTTACGGGCAACGAAAATGGTGCCCGTACATCAATATGAAGCAGCGCAAGGAATGGATTAGCCTCAGTGCACAAGCGACACAGCGCGTATAAAATCTCTTTCATCTGGGTAAAATGATCTTGTGGGCATGATGGGACTAAGGGGGAGTTATCTAATAGGAATTGCGTAAACGGTACAAAACAGTCAACGCAGAACTACATGTTCTATAGATCGAACGGCTCAACACGGCTACGCAAAAGAAGAGACCTACGCGGTAGCATGAATTTCTTTTGTTGCACGACAACGCCCGCCCTTATATCGCCGATAGAACAGAAAGCCGTATAAACGCATGGCTGGGAAATTCTGCCACACACGCCTTACACGCTTGGTTTGGTAAAAACGGTTTTCAAGTTTATTGATCTTTTGCAAATGTTATGCGCGGAGGTTCGTTTAGTAATAAATCCAAACTGAGAGCTTGATTTGGATTAGGCTTTCGTGTCTAAACCGGGTGATTTCTAAAGAAGAGAAATTGGCAATCTTGTTGAACGTTGGAAGAAGTTGGAAACAGCATAAGAGGTTACATTATTGATTGAGTAGTTGTTACCATTTGTTAAAAATATAGTTCAAAAAATGTAAAACGGCAGTAACTTAGTTACCAACCTCGTATTAATTCAACATCGTCATCATCAGTACCCGTTAGCTGAGGGTGAGAAACACATCTTAGCTAATGTGCCGCAATTCAAAAAGATGAGACTAAAAAAGTATACTACAAAAAGCACGATGTCAAATATTACATTATGAGTTGCATGAGATCAGGAATGGAAGATGAACCTAAAGGGAAAGGGCTGAACAAAGAAACACAACATAAACGCCATTGGGGCCGGCTCCTCATCATATCAGCAAGTATGTCACACCAAACGAGTTCATCGTCCTTAGGACCCCAGCCAGGCAGTCGGGATGCAACAACTGACTCCAGTTTCGAAGTGAGGGTTTTCATTTCTCTTGACCAAGTCATCGTTTGGCCTCCTCTCCTCCACTTCCAACCGCACCCCCCGCGCAAACAATGCACTTCGCGGGAATCGGTGTGTTGGCATGAGCAACCCGTGGACCAGCCATCGGAGCCTTTTGGGTGATATAACGATGCTGAGCGGTTCACTCACTCTTCCTGCACCAAATATACAATGTTGAATATGCTTATGGCTCAAGCGGTGCTCCCACCGGACATGAGCTAGGCTGCTAAGGCAGCGATGATCGATTCTGACGAGCCTCTTTATATCTGTCGAGCTGATGCGCCAGGTTCCAAAATCATCTAGGAAAGTTGAACGGACGGCTGGGTTGTAAACTTTGCAGTTCAGGGCGAGAAGAATGTCGCGTCCGCGCTACAGGTGACGGGGATTGGCAAAAGCATTGCAGGCTTTTGCTATACGGTTCGTAACCTCATCTTCGAGCCCACTGGTGCTAATAGAGCCGCGAAGATAATTGAATTCCTGAACCGCTTCTAGCTGATCACCACAAAGCGTTAACGCAAGGGTGGGTCCCTGCCAATCCTTGCGAAGTACTTTGAATTTCGATGGAACAAAGCATAAACCAAAAAGGATAGATAGCCAGTTCTAATAGGTCCAGTGCCGCTTGGCATGATTGGGAGCTGTCACAGACTAGGGCAACATCGTCTGCATACTACAAGTCAAGAAGTCGCTCACCAGGAAGTAGCTCCACACCTTCTAGGTCGTGTGCATCGAATGCTGTTGCCATGACTTCTTTAACTGAGAAGTTAAATAGGAAGGGTAACAGGGGGCAACCTTGTCTCACGCCGCTGGTAACACTGAAGAGTGACGACAGTTTGCCATAAATTCTTACTTTGCCCGAACTATGCGCGTACAGCGCTTTGATAATGGGTACGTATTTATCAGGAACACCTTTTCTTAGCAGACAGTCTCAAAGAGCACATCAATCGACTGAGTCGAAGACACCATTTAGGTCAAGAAACATGACAATGGTGGGTCTCCAATAAATATGGCAACACTCCAAAAACTGACGCAAGATGAAGATGTGGTCGATGCAGCCCCGATCTCAACAAAACCCAGCTTGCTCTTCACGGATCTGGCTTTCACGAATGCCAGTCAGTCTGTGGAGGATGACAGACGCAAGCAATGTAGAGGCAATTGATATCTGACTGATCCCTCTAAGATTGCCGCATTCCGAACGGGAGCGTTGCTTGGAAATTTGGACAATGACGGAGCGACTCCAGTCTGTGGGGACAGTCATCTGCTCCCAAACTGTCACTAGCAACTGGTGTAATTTATCTATTAGAGCAGGACACAGAATTTCAAGAGGGCTGGTGGAATTCTATCTGCCCCCGCGGCTTTATGCAATTGCAACAGCCTGATCACACGTTCGACTTCGGCGTGTGTTGGCGGATCCATGGAGATGGCCCACGGAGAAGAGTGCTCAATGTCCGAAAAAGAAAGCGATAACTCAGGTTGGTTAACTTGCTTTGCAAACTGTTCGGCCGAACGCTTCAAGCATTTTGACAGGCTGTGGATCGGCTGCCCACTCTCGTTAGGTATAGTCTCGCTAACACCAGGTCACCTGCTGCCTGTTTCCTGTATCATGTGGAATAACATGCTGATTACCAACGATAGCGGCCGTTTCTATCTTCGAGGCACGAGGAGACTACCAGGCTTCGCGGTCTTCCTTCAGGCCAACACGTAGTTTTGCACTGAGATTATTGCGAGCCTCATTGTATTTGCATTCAACCAGGAGACGACGGCGAGCATCCATAAGTTCCAGAGACAGTGTAGATACCAAGGTCTGGTTTGGCAATTTGATTTGCCACTTGAAGATATGCCTGCTGATAGGAAAATTCGACGAATATGCGACAACTGATCTTCGACGGTGTTCAGTGGGCGCTTACTTAGCCCGGATGTTAGCGCACTTTGATACACATTGAGAACACCTGGCCTCCCCAGCTAGCTGGTGTCAATCTGCTCACGTCGACGTTGCGGACATCCACCGAAACGCACCAGAAGGTCGGCGCAAACAAGTGCGTGGTCAGAGTGCATACTGGTGCTCCAAATCGAGCGATAGCTTTGAACACAGCCTCTCATGCGGTAACTGATCGCGATATGATCGATTTGCGTCCATGGCTGGTTTGAAACTGGTGGGCGCAAAGTCACGCTTCTGCTGTGTCGAAAGTTGGTGCTCGCAAGAAAGAGACGAGCATCTTCACATAGCTGTAGCAACCGCTCACCGTTATCATTGCGGGAGCCCACACCATGTTGGCCGCCCTGATGAATCTCATCAGAAGACGACTTTCCGACTTGATCGTTTTGATCGCTAGCCAGCTTCTTCTGTAACGTAGTAAGTTAAGTTGGTGGTAGAAAACAGCTTTCAATGAATCGGTGCTAGAGTTTTTAGAGGCCTAGATCGAACTGACAAACAGGCACCGTTTGTCCCCGCATGACTTCGTAGAATAAAATGAACCAGCTAACCTAACGGCGCATATCTGACTGTTGACTGGAATCCAATTAATCAGGGAAGCATAAAGACCCAAAACAATGCCGGCACCAGCTTGACCGGCATTTGAAGCTGCATCATCTTCAGACAGGTGTAATCAGAATGTGCCACCAGTGTCGCGTGTGGGGGATGGCAGGGTAAGTACGGAGCTTGAATCTTGCCGGCGCGTTTCTAAGAAACAGCAAATATCGTCTGATAGGATCTATAGTGTGTTGACAAGTGCTGCCTGTTGGTCAAGCTGTAGCAAAATGTGATCGTTGAGGCATGCCAGTCTTAACGGGACAGGAAGACTCCAAAGGGAAACGGATGAACTGACGTTGTCCTCTTGGTTGAACACGGACTTTTCGACTGGACTGGAGCAACGCCCTGTGACTCTGTGTGAGTTGAAACTAGAAGTTACTGACTATTGAAGCAAGGTGGGGGAGGGCCAGGAATTGGAGGATATAAAATAGGGGGATAAAAGTAAAGTTGGAGCAGGACAATAAGGATGAATACGCGCAAGAAAGGTGACAAGAAGACGAGAAGGCCTAAGCAGTAGCATCCAAACCCCTGTCTACCCTGCTCGATACAGCAGATAGGGCACCCTTGATTATCCTCTGCGGCGGCAAGAGCGTCAAGAAATTGTTAGAAGGTAGGTTCGTTGTACTGCATAAACAAACTACTGTCAGGTTGCCTGAACCTAGACAGAAAACGATTAGGGTCCTCAACCAAAGCCTTTGATACAAAAACTTTACCGCAAAGGAAGCGGACTTTCGGCATAGGACTACAAAGCTAGTTTATTGGAGTAAGGAGCCGCTCTCACTCCAACACCTAACCTAGAGGCCCAAGAGACTGAGTATGTCTGGCCTCTAACTACTGACCAATCCGGTATGATTGGCTTTGGAGGCGGAAAAAAGTACCACCCAGAATATCTTAATGGATCACTGGGGCACACAAACCATCGCACCTCGTTAAGGTCCAGTCCCGTTGTGATGGCCGCTAATTAATTTCTCGTGGATATTTACGAGATAGTAATACATATTAATGCATAAGACCGCAAATGAACTGAAACTATTTACAAAATACAAATAAGCTAATTGAACCGAATAACACAATCATTGAAACTCAGACGCATTTAGGCGTAAATGAATACCGCCCACTCGAATGTGCGTATGACTAACTGGCATGTTGAATTGGTAAATAATTGATAACTCATTTAATTACCGTGCGCAGCATGGAATTGCTAGAAGCATATGCCCAGTACGTTTATGCTCCGAGTACGAAGTGTAATACCCTAAGATAGAAGAGAAGTCCCCACAAAAGCAACAGCAAAAGTTATGATGAGATCCATAAATAAGCAATATAATGTAAATGCATGACAAACATACTTTCGTGTAAGGGCGGCCTTCATGGTCATTGCACGAGTTAGGGCGGGCACCTACACTTGCGGGCCACGTTCCATTAGGACCACAGCACGATAACTGTAAAGAATGTACTTTTTCGAAGACTTTAAAACCCACCCATGTTTGGATATGATCAATTACGTTGGCATAATCAGAACCTTGTGTATACTTGCTGTAAGCTTCTGTAACTACATTGTTTGTATAATCTTTCAGCTAAAAATTTAGTGTACAAAATTAACAAACGTGATGCGCTTACTTTATCTTTCAACACGAAACCAGCTATGCCAGCCGCCAAGCCTGCAACGATAAATATGGAAAGAAGTATGGCATACTAAGTGTGCAGGCTTAAAAACAGAGTTGTGGATTTACCATAATGAGGCAGCAAGCATTTTTCTTGCATGCACCACAAAAACCGAACATTCCAGTAAGGGTAAGAAAACAGCCAAAAGCAATGACGAAAATGACAATGCCGTGCAAATAAGCATCATCAGTGCTTAGCATTTGCTTCATATTTACTTCAGCAATGCTCCCAATCACAATCAGTGCAATTCCCAGGACCTGGAAACATGTCTTTGTGAATCAGCATAAACTTACGATAACTACGGCGTTCATAACCACCAGCATACATTGCAAACACTTGTAACCGCAGCTAAGACCCATTTTTGAAAGCAGCAACGAGATACGCCGCACCCAAGACACAATGCACGAGGACCGATTATGATTTTATAGTTTGCACTCAGGCTAAGGTCATTCACGTGAAACACTTTGGTGATGGTTAAGATGTATTGAAACTAAATGACATAGAGTTAGATTTCAAAACGTCACAAAATAAAATGATTTAAGCATGTGTATTTTTAACGTGTAACCAGTGTCCTTGGCGTAAGTCTGCTGCCCGCAGAATTATCCAGCAAGATATCAGGGCGTTTTCAGCCAACCGCAGCGGCAAAAACTAGTGGACAATACTTCTACCGGCTGTGGCGGGCAACTTAATTAGAAAAGGGCAAGGAAAATGTTTAACTTGTAATCAGTGGGTCTGGAAACCGACAGAACCGGTAAATAATTTCTCAAACGGGAACTTTTTAAAATGGTTGTTTAACTGAGGTATTTGTCATTGCATATATAAGGGAGCGCGCTATGCTTCTTCGTCATACCTGCCAGTCTTATGGAAGCTACTTGCTTCACGGTCGCTAGGGGTCGGCTGCGAAGGAATCGGATGCTGATGGCGAATGCAATAGCTCGACGTCAGCAATACAAAGTCTAGGGGATGAAAACCGGTTATTCAGACAGCTGCTTACGAAATAATATGCAGCCATCCAAGCGTTTAGTGAAGATTTCTCCATATTTCAATGTCATTCATGCACGCCATTTTTAGTGTACAAATTGGCACCAAGCAATGAGTTCTCTGAGATTGACCAATTATAAATAAGGCTATCACGGCCTTGCTGAACAAAGGTAGCATCGTCCTCAGACAGATATACAAACACCAAACGTTGGATTGCCTAAGGTAATCCACATATGAAACGGTTGAATTAGGCCTTGTGAAGCTAGGTAACGTCGGCCGAAGACGAAAACAGCGCTAACGTGTGATGGCTTGCCTAAGATAGACCAAATATAAAACGATTGCATCAGGCGGTGTAAATCTATGTAACGTCGTCCACAGTTCCTGGTTGAACTATAAACGATGGAATGGCTAGGATGGACCAAGTTTAAAACGGTTGCATCAGGCTTTGGGAAAGGAGATAGCATCGTCAAAAGACAAGGATTGAGCTACAAAGCGACTGCTCAGCTGAGGTAGACAAATTTTAACACGGTTGCAACAGGCTTTGGGAAAGGCTATAGCACCGTCCACAGACCAGCGTTTGTTTGGCGGAGACGTTTGGCGGTCAACTTATACAATGGTTACACAAGGATCCGTTAGGCCATATCTCTATTACAATGGAACTGTAGCTGATTGTACTTACTTTAATGGTTGGTAAATTTCTCGGTAGTACGACTGAGTGGTCTCATCAAGCGTACGTTTCTTTTACGTTGGGTAATTATAACTTACATTTGCAAGCCTTTTACGTTCTCCGTAACAGCTAGTTACATGCTGCCTACTAGACATATGTAGCTTGCAAATCTTGTTCACTAACCTTAGTTCGTAAAGGCTCAGTATCTTACTTGTTCGACCCATTATTTTGGTGCACTTGCTGACATCTAAATTTAACATAGAGGTTGTAATTGGCTTTACGATGCGCGGTAGCTCTTTCCAACATCCGCGCCACGCCTCCTTATTGCAGTTTAAGTTTTCTAAGCCCATACAACAAGTTCAATATTTCCAGCTGCATATTCGGGTCAACCTATCGATTTTCATATGTTAGGAGGATCCTCTTTCGTCTATGAGCTTGCCTTTTACCAGCAAACTTATAGTTTAAAAGGTAATTACAGCTCCGTGTGAACCTTCTGTAAAATTTGGATACAACCAATGGCAAAGACTTTCACAAAATTGCTTTCCACACTGCATTCACGGCTGGTGTCGCATGAATTTGCGTTGACATCTTCCCGATTAGAGACAGTATTTCCCACCTAGCCTCGGTTAAAATCGGATGCTCACCTGGAATGGGTATCATTTTAAGTATCCAGTGATAGCGCGCATCTTCGGGTACCTAGGATTTCTACGGATAAATAACTGCCTTTTACAGCATCAAGTAGCTCATAGCTACCCTTTTTATCTTACGAATTCGTTATACGATGTTCAAAGTTTTGAAGGCCCAACCCACACTGTCCACCACGTCAGATAATGTTTGCGATGTAGAATAATTCACCGTGACCGCAAAAGAAAGTAGAACGAAAATGGTGTCCTATGCCACAGTAGGCTTCTGGATACTAATTTGCAACCTTAACATTACTCTTCTTGCACCATGAAACTATCTTGAACATCTCATACATTTAATCAGCAAAGTGACCGTTTGAGCGCTTTGCGCGGCTGTTTTAGTTATCTGGTTATCCAATTGAATCATATTGAAGCCACATTTTCACTCAATTAGGGTTGCCCTGTGGTCTTACGTTGCAATATTGCGAGGTGGAAAGCGACTACCGTTATTCAGCCAAACAGTACGTTTAGCTTGTTAAAAGGCCTCCACAACGTTGACAAGGCTACATCAATATAATAATTCCGACGAATTAACTTGGCCCCAAGTGTGTCTTCACTGGAAGGCCAGGGATTAAAATCACACATGCAGTGTGCGCCAAAGTTTACCCCAGCGTACATTTTTGTAGACTCCGGTTATGCATTTGGTACGCTGCTAGCGTTTCTGTTTGACATTATGCTGAATAAGTGATGGCATCTCTAAAGCCCGTCATTTATAATCCTATGGATTCCTGACGCCAGCACTTCCGGAGTGGCTACGCAAATGGTTATCAATGAGCTTAAGGTTTGTCATGTCTTATAGAATCTACCAGTCAGATTTGCACTACAAAACGAACCTTTATATACGTCGCCAATTCTTTTTGTTTATCTTCGTTAGACAAAGCCCTTAGCCCGTGGGATGTAAGCAAAACGCTCAGAATTTACGTCAATCCGCCTGACAATACCTTTCTACTTTACATGGGCTATAATTGACGATACGCAGAACCAATGAGATAAGGAAGATTAGGCACTGCCAACGTCAACCAAGCAATGAAGTAGCTGTGGTCACGAACAATACACGAGTGCATTCGTGACACTTATAGCTTTCCGGTAACGACTGTACACACCATTGCGTTACCTAGCAACGGGCCTGGATGTTTGTTAGGCTGGTTTTAACTGAGTTTGTTCCACATCGGTTTGGTTCGTCTGGTTTTATGCGGCAAATGCCCCATCTGTTCGCTTATAAGCGAACTCATGGGCTCATGGGCTTAATTGAGCGTCGTCAGTTGTGGCCAAGTTGGTGGAGCAGGATGCGGCCGTCCCGAGTTATAGCGCTGCTGGCTTAATCGTACAGGACAATAATGCAGCGCTTTGCCTGCTTGCCACCTCGGAATTTGGATGGTCTCCTGTTTTTTACCTTTCTAGCTTTTGATACGCAGAGTACTAGTAGCTGAGGCTCAGTTTTTCCGGTGTAATGTCAGCACCGTAGTCTCTTCCTGTTTGGCCTCTGTTCTTTCGTGGATTAGGTAAAAATTAGCGTCAATCTTGCTCGCTTTGGCTAACCGAACTTAAGCACAGTCGATGTCATCCCTGTCCAGTCAGCCGTGCGTAGTATAAAAGAACAGATATCGATCAAATGTTGTTTGCTTCGGTAGACCTTGTTTAACTGCTGGACTGCCCCTTCTGCCATGCCGCCCGCCAAAGCATTGTAAGGGTTAGAACTACTCTATTATATTCCGTTATAGTTGTTGAACTATCTGAAGTTAGTAACTAACGCTTGGTGTCCATCTGTCATTGCAACTAGTTGCGGGCCTCGCATAACCGAGAACAAATAGTTATTTATGCATTTAATATAACTAATGAGATTCGCAGCTTTGCAAATTTGGCTGTGGGCTTTACGTTTGTTAATTGATAATCTCCTAGCTATTTGGAGCATGCAGCAATCAAAGGTAGACATTTGTTTCTTGTTCCAGAGCGAAATCGTTCGACATGTACACAGTGCCAGTGTCTTCCCACCAACCTCATGGGCATAACGGTCAGTGACATTTTGGTCTTTGCCCTTCTTGAGAGAGTTAAATTTTCAACATCATGCAACTAGTATGACCAGTGCTTGTGAACTAACACAAACCATTCGCTACCGCGTTTATTCAGGTTATGCCAGGGTATGCGCAATGCAGCTCTAGCAGCAACCAGCGCCGTATTTGGTCCGGTGGAACGACGCGCTGGCCACGAACTATATAGCCGTCGTAGAGGATTAACTCACTGTTCCGACAAGCGAATGGTTTTAGTTCGTCTGGTGTGCGTGTAGGCCATCCCTTCAGAATGAACCACTTCACCCTCGGCGACACATGATCCCGGACAGGCAAGCTGCGCAGTACATGAAACCGGTTTAACTGTCACTTAACTGTGCTGCGTCAAATTGCTAAACTGTGTGTTTATGGTATGTATTTGTGGTATGCCTCCGCGGGGATCAAATCAATGCATCTGGAAATGTCATTGAGTGCACTTACACACTAAGATTTGCCGTTATAGGGATTAATAACGAGCTTCCACCGATGAATTCCCAGCGAACACAACCGCTAGGTTCGTTTCTCCACGTCCATCCGTGATAAAAGCAATATATATTGAATTAGCATGTCTAGCTATTTCCCCAGAGATGTTGGTGCTAATGTCTGACCATGAAGTTATTCGATAAGAGGGCTATATCTTGTTGCAAGCACTTTGTTTTCGCGGCTTGCAGGGTACCAGAAGCTAACTCGAGTGGAAAAGAGGGCTAGCATCCGCGTGGTGGCATTGAACTGCGCATCCTTCGTGTGCAAGGCATCACGCCTCAGCACTAGAGCCAGAATTCGATCATAATGCAAGTAGAACAAAGAATAACGAGCACTAGCGTAAAATCTTTAAAGTCCGTTCTCGGATTCGGATGGTAAAAATACGCCATCCTCTCGTGCTGGTGCGAGAGTAAACAGAGTTGCTGGCGTAAAAGCACCAAACCAACTAATCGAAATTCATCCTAATCTTTGGATTCATGTGCGGCAAGGATTAGTTCCCT